GTTGATCCTGTACAAAGGATTAACCCCAATAATAACAATATCAGTTTAAGGATTGACTCAAGCAGCAAAAATATCTTATCCCATAGTTGACTTAGTGACATAAATTATTTATATGTAATTCAACTCAAGTTGTTGTGATTCTGTAGATTAGGATTGAGTTTGTAACTGGAGATAAGATCAAACTTATCTACCATTACCATACTAGAAATCAATATATATGTGTACCATAAATCAGATGAATCAAGAGTGTTAATTTCTATTCATTATCTTTTGTTTTTATTAAGGGGTCTTTTTTTTCATTCTCGTTATTTGTTGATATTAATTAGTACTTTCCCCTTTTAGAATGGAATTGAAGCTTCATACTCCAATCAATGCCTGAATTGAAGTAATAAGAAACATTAGCTTTTAATTCTTAAACAAATTGAAATATTTCTTTTGAATGTTTAACTTACAATTTTTGTTGGTAGATAAACACAAATATAGTGCATTTAGATATCTTTAATCCTAAATTTATAATAAATCAAGAAAAAAAATAGACCTTAAGCAACCCTAGCGAAATGGGTAACAAGTAATATAAAATGAACTATAAAATTTATTGTTCACAAATTATCCTTTCTACGCATGACATATGTTTAAGAAGACAAAGGTGGAATTTCATCAATTGTTCATGGTATTTAAGTGAAAAAAGATAGAAAGAAAGAATAGGAAGATCGAATGAGGAGTGAAGAAGAGGAAATAAAGATGAGAGATAAGGAAGGCTAACGGCAAGACGGAAAGGTGGATGAAAAAAAAATGAGGAAATAGAAGAGAGGGAGAAATTGAAGAAAAAAATCCACCTGCAACATAAGGCCATTAGCAAAAAGAAAAATAGAGAAGAGGGGTTAATGGCTTTACGGTATAGACACAAAAAATGAAAGAAGAAAATGAAAGATGTTATTGTTTTTTAGATGCTCATTCTCTATCATTTTGACACGAGAAAAAAAGTAAAACTAAAACTAAAAAAAAAAAAAGGAAAAACAAAGTAAAAGTAAAACATAAAAAAAAGAGGCAGGTAGCTAAAGCCTTTGCACGTAAATTTTTTTACCGATTTTGTCAAGCTCAAAAATTGAAAGATAAGTTCAAAAATGTATTAATTTTTTATCGTAAAAAAAAAGCTAATTTTTAAATTTTTTTCATTTTATAAATTTATTGTATTTTATTTCTTATTATGTTGTTAATTAATTTTTTTGAATAAAAATATTATTAATTGGAGTCACTAAAATTGTTTAATTTATTACATAAATATATCAAAATAAATAAATAAATAATAAATATGATTATGTGAAAGCTTACTAAGAATGAATATGAATTTTTAAAAAAATTTTACTTGCTAAATATCTTAAATGATGAATAACTTTAAAATTTTTATTAAAAATATTTTAAAAAATCTTAAATTAATCGTAACAAAGCGTGAGAATGCATTGGTGATTAATGAAAAAATCATGCATGCAATCAAGATTTCTAAATAATAAAAGGTTAAATACATATTTGATTCTTAAATTTTATACTTTTTGTCATATTGATACTTAAAATATTATAGCTCCTATATTGGTATCTAAACTTTCAATCTGTTATCACATTGATACTTCGGATTAACATCATTAGTTAACTTTACTGACGCAACATGAATATCTAATAAGATATTGACACGTGTTAAAAAATTCAATCAGTACTACAACATCAATGGTCTGTTATTATTAAAAGAAAATTTCAAAACAAATTATAAAAAATTTTAAAAATTCAAAACAAAAATTTTAAAAATTTTAAATTTTTTTTAAATTCTAAAAATTTTTCAAATTTTCCAAAAATTCTAAATAATTTTTAAAAAATTTTAGAAATTTCAAAAATTTTAGAACATTAACATATCCTAAAAGTTTTAAAAATATTTAAAAATTTTTAAATATTCTAAAAGATTTTTAAAAATTCAAAAACAATTAAAGAACCTTAAAAAAATTTTTAAAAAAATCTTAAAATTGTAACAAAATCCAAAAAATAAAAAAAAAGACTATTTTAATAAAAATAAAATTTTATTTAAATTAAAAATTAACAAAAACTTAAAAATAATTAAAATCATAAATCAAAATTTTTTTTTTGAAAAACATATAAAAATTTTAAATTTTTTTTAAAAAATTATGATTTTTTTCATTTTTTAATCTTACAATTTTAAGTCTTTTATATATTTTTTGAAATTTATTTTTGGATTTTTGTTATAATATTTTTATTATTTTTTAATTTTTAAAGAATGTTTCAAAATTTTGAAATTATTTAATTTTTCATAAACTTTCAAAAAATTTTAGATTTTTTATTTTAGGTTTTTTAAATTTTTGTGATTTTTTTAAATCCTAAGAAAATTTAATTTTTTAATAAATTTTCATTTTTTTTATTTTCAAAATTTTTTTAATTCTTGAAATTATGATAATTTTTGTAATTTATAAAAACATTTCATATTTTTTATTTTTTATAAATTTGAAAAAGTTTTAAAATTTGTTTAGAATTTTTTAAAAATTTTAAAAACTTTTTACAATATTTTAGATTTTTTAATATTTTTTTAAAATGTTTTTATTATTTTATGAGAAATTTTTGAAAATTTAAAAATTTCTTTTATAGATTTTAAAAAATCTTTAGAAAATGTTTAGAGCTGTTAAACATTTTTTAGAATTGTTTTAAATTTTTTTGAAGTTATGAAAATTTTTTAGGAATTTTTAAAATTTTTAGAATTTTAAAAAAATTCAAATGGCTTTTTTATTATTTAAAAAAATTATTTTTTAATTATTTATTATTTTAAAAATTTTTTAAATCTTTTGAGAATTTTTTTTATTATGATGAAATATCGATAATGTGATGTTAATTAAATTTTTTTTATGTATTGATATTTTATTAAATATTTATATCGCGTCAATAAATTTATTAACGACATCAGTTGTAAGTATTAATATAATAATAAAATAAAATTAAAATATTAATAAAATACCTATAATTTAAATATCAATATGAAAAATAATATGATTAAAATCAATTAGATTCGTTTCTTTTTATAAAAAAATTTTAAATTCAAATCTTGTCAGTGATCATTTATTGAGATTATCTCAAATGCATGATTTACAATCATTTATTTTAAATTATTAATTATGATAAATTTTATTTTAGTTTGATAGACTAAATAATTTATCTATTTAATTTTTTTTTTTAAAAAAAATATGTATTTAACCCATCATAATAATATTATTATTATTTGATTACAGAATTGGTTTTTAGTGTAAAATGGACTGACGTCATTGATGAAGGATGAATGATGATGATGGATTTGCATTTAATTTAATTTGGCAGTTGGTACAGCTGTTGTTATGGTTCATGCATCCTTCCAGCTTTTAATTTAGATATGTAGGCTGACTCATCCCATCACATCAATCACTATTAAACTATGAAATATCAAAATCCACTGTGCTTTTGGATCGAAACTCACAAGAAACATCCGTATCTTTTTATCTATTTATTTAAATTCGAATTACAATTCCATTCGTCCAAATTATAATATCAATTTTTTTCTGGTCCCACGTTTTTTTTATCTTTAATTTGTTTATCGCAACTTGGAAATGGAATCTCCCTCGAACCACCCTTTGTCTTTTTACGTTTCAGCCTGCAGCCCACCGCTCTTGGAATATGATGGGCTCAACGATAGGCCTAACACCTTTGATTACTACACGTGGGATAAATGTAAATTAATTTTTTTTCACTTTTTTGTTTTTTTAGATTTCGTTTTACAATTTTTTTCTCTAATTTTTTCCGAGAAAGTTCGGACACATGTTGGTGGCTCCTCCAACTTTCAAGTTAACATGCATATTGAAAACTACCACCCTCGCTCATTTTAAGGTCTTGCTTGGATTCAAATGAGGTCACGGTACAGCACGATAAAAATTACTTTTTATTTGGCGTACACTCAATTTGGATGTTAGAGGTGTGATACGGTGGGAACATTTTCATGATGCTGTACTCCTTTTTCTTGCTAGAGGGATTATGCAATTGATTTTTTTTTTACTAAATAGTCAATTATTTTCTTGAAAAATGATACGCATAATTAAAAATAAATCTAAAATATTTGATTGTTTTGACCTAAAAATTAAAATATATTAAGTGTAAGCATTTTAAAATATATTTATTTAATATAATTTAATTTACATATTCATTTTATGTAAAGACAATCAACAGTGAGACATTAATTAGATTCCACACAACTTAATAAAATATACATATAAATATTTCTCAAACACTTATTTATAAAAATATTATTTGATATATAAATAATTTAATAATTTGTAATTATTTACTAATTTCACAAATATAAATATATATATCTTATAAATTTTAATATGTATTAATTTTATTTTAATGTTTTTAATAATAATATTCATGATAATAAAGAGTCAAATTTTAAATATTGCAAAACAAATTTATTTTATGGTTAATCACAAGATATATTTATGTAGTTTATCTTTTGTTTTATTTATTTACTTATTTATTTTTTATGTATTAGTAAGTACAGTATATATTATATCTATTAGAATGTGCACTTTTTACTTTATTGTATAAAACTAATCAGGTAGAAATTGGAAAACATGTTCTTTTTTATTAACTTTGAATTTTTATAATTATTTTTTTATGGCTGTAAATATTACTTATTTTTATTTCATCCTCTCAATAATATATTAATATATTTTTTAAAAATGGTAACCTTAAAAAAATGTCATTTTGGGGGAATGTTGTTGGGATTGTATCTTAGGAATATTATGATTTACATACGTGGGTCATCTATTAAAAGCTTTGATATATTTCAAAATGCAATTAACTACCTATATTGTATTATTATCATCTTACTATTTCAGATTAATAAAAAAATTTTATATTATTTATTTTAAAAAATTTTAAATTTTTAAGTTTGCTAATTTTTCCGTCAATGAGGTTTGGTTGAGTAAAAAGAAGACTGTTACACATCTTTTGTCTGGATGTGTAAAAAGTGAAAAATTAACCATAATTAATTAATTTTTCTAAGCAAATAAATCTGAAAGTAAATTTACTGCCCAAGGGAAAGATAAATAATAATAATGTACAGAAGAAGAATAGGAAAAGAGAACAAAAATTCGAATCTGGCTGGTATATACAAAGCTAAACGACCTCCACTCACAATAATACCCCCCAAAAAAAAATCTAATCGGGTATCAGGATCAGTTCGGGTCGGGTCGATTAACGGTTGGATGTCGGATGTCTAAGCAGAAACGGATGATCCAAAAGCTGCGAGGCTGTCCACCTCTTTTTAGACTCCTTCTGCAAGCAACAGTTAATGAAGCTCCGAAACTCATCAGAAACACCCGATGGCAAGGCCGGTGGATCGCCGAAGCAAATTGCACACATTAAGGTGGCCCAGTCTGGTCTTTGACCCGGTGGCAGAAAAGGAAAGTGACCCATATAAAGTTCCATTAAAGTAAGCCCCAAGCTCCATATATCACCAAGATATCCGTTGTAATTACCTCCATAAGCATCAGGATCAAACCTTTCGGGACTCATATAAGCGCAGGTTCCAACGTAAGAGTTGCATGCATCCAACGTCCGACACATAATCTTACTAACCCCAAAATCAGCTATTTTCACTTCCATCTTCTTGTTTACCAACAAATTCGAAGGCTTGAGGTCTCGGTGAATGATTTTGTGGGCATGCAAGTAACTCAATCCTTTGAGTATTTGTCTGGTTATATGAGCAAGTTCAGGCTCTGAGAAGGTACCGTGGTTACGAAGGAGCGTATCCAAAGTGCCGGCGTCCATGTACTCCATGAGAATCGAAACATCCCCTGAAGGGTTGTCGTATGTTCCATAACAACGAACGATGTGAGCTGAATCAGTCCGGCGAAGAATCTCCTTCTCTCTGGAAACTTGTCTATGAGCAGTCAGGTCGCCATGGCCGTGAACCACTTTTAAGGCATAAATCTGGGAGGTACGTTTGTGTTGGACTTTGTAGACGGTGCCGCCGTTTCCGTGGCCAAGAACTTGAAGCTTCTCGAGCTCAGTTAAGGGGATGGTAACGGAAGCAGCAGTTGTAGCGATGGTTGTAGAGGCGGAGGGAGGGAGGGGAAGAGGGAAGCGAGGACAACGATCAGAGACGTCGGGGAGCGGGAGGCGGAGATTAATCTGTCGGCGCTCACGAACTACTGCCATGTGAAGGACGGGTAGTTTTTGAGTTGAACAATACACGATTGGAGGAAAACAAGGATATACACGTACATATATAAGTAAGAGGAAAGTAAAGGAAGTCGGCTGGTGGGGAGGAAGGAAGGAAGGAAGGTGAAAGGATAGAGAGCGAGAAGTGGGGTCCATGTTTTGCATATAGGGTAGGCGATTTATTAATTTATTTTTAATTCTTGAAGCGCAGAGTGGGAGTGGGAGGAGTTGTTATATTTTCCATGTGATTAAATTGTGTAAAATTCATTGGGCCACGTAACACCAAATTTTGAATCTGTATAAAATAAATACTAAATTTTCAACTATAAATAAAACTGAATAAATACTTGAGAGTTGCATATAGGCTTGAGAGTCAAGTTTGGTACTTAAACAAAAAAAAAAAAAATAGCAGCCTTTCAGTTCTATTATTATTATTATATTTACAATAAATATATTTTAAGGGAAAAATAAGAATAATAAATTATGAAATTATCTTTACTCCTACAAAAAAACAAAACAGCCTGCCAAATCCCTATCTTTGATAGCTGGTGATTGAGTTACTTCTTTTATTGACAACTAATAATTAATTATTATATTATTATTATTATTATTATTATTATTATTATTGAGGATTAATTTATGAACATTAATATAATTTTTTATTTTTTATATTTTTGGATTAAAATGATTAAATATAAATATAAAAAATTTAATTTAATTCAATGATAAAATTATTATTATTATTATTATTATTATTACAAAATTAGAATATTCAAAATGAAGTCCAAAGATATAATAAGTGCAATATTCATTGAGACATTGTCTTTACAGATTATTAATGTTTCTTTTTCATATATAGAAACTTTTAATTATACAAATGAGATAACTATTTTTATTCTATAGATGGGTTTTAAAATTTTTAAAATAAAATTTTAAAATTTAGTGTTAAGATATCTTTTTAAAACATTAGAATTTGGTGAGGATATCATATCATATTGCGAAAAAATTAGAAAGAGAGCAACATGTAGAGCATGCAAGTTGTACACTTGGGTTAGGGGGATTGATTAAATTAATTTAGGTTTATTAGTTTGTATTCAAGTTGGCTAATTTGATATTGGATTTTATTTGTTCTTTTATTAGAAGTAATGTCATTCATTAAGGTGAATGTTAAGGGCATTTTAGTGTTTAAAGGGTAAAATGATTTTTTTTCTTTCAGTATAAGTTAGTTGATAAGTGGGGGTCTTCTGATTATTTTAACCAATCTAAAATCCCATGATCTGTATCAACTTAGCTACTTCAGTAACCTACAAGTTAGTGCCTTAGGATGTTGACTTATCTTGCCTTAAATGAACAGTTAATTGCCAACTCAACTCGGGCCTATGAGGTCAGCCTTAGTCTTCTAGGTTGACCTTGAGCAGCCTAAACCCATAACTCCCCATCACACAAGTATAAATAGCCCTATCCAAGTATTTCTAATCCATCTTGAATTTTTAAGCTTTTAAGCCTTTATTCCATCATATTCTTTCCTTTCTTAGATCGATTTCTAACTTGAGCGTCAAAGTACAAATGTTAGGACTACCCCCAACCTTTGTCGTTAACTGCTCTATTTCTTTCTCCTATGTTTTCAAGGTTTTGCCCTCTTTAAACAATACAACACAAACATTTGACGCATCAAGTAGAAGGTATCTTATTCAGTTGAGCTAAAATATCTTCAAGAAATAGAGTAATTGAGGAAGGAGAAACTGCTACTAGGACAGAAACCCAACTTAGCTAGCCAAACATAGATTGACTTACCACAATAATCCCCACCATGGAATAGTTTAAAGCCTTTACCCAATGACTCCAATCCCTCAAAGAAATGATACAAAACCTAACTCCACCACAAACTTCAAAGGCATCAAACCTAATAACTTCCCAAAACCCATCTACACAAAAGTTGCCGACCAATGATTATACTTTAGCCTCATTGCATCAAATGAGGATAAAACACCGATAACCTACTACTTTATGCATACCTTAACATAAGCCACCACTCAAAAGTTTAAACAAGTCACATTGGAACGACAATCAAATAGAGATTTAAAAGCTCGGATAGAAGTTATGAAAAAAAAAAAGTTGAAGAACAAAGCCTCCACCTTTGATAACAAGCTGAGGTTCTTGCAAACCTCTTTCTTTACTAAGGAAATAGATCAACAAGTTTCTTTCAAAAGGTTTAAGATTTTGATCTTGAAGATTTATGATGGTACATCTTGATAATCTTGAGCTTTATCAAACTAATATGATGATGCAGGGAGTTAATAAGGCCCTCATATGTAAAAGTCTCCTAACAACATTAAAAGAGACAACTTAATTTTGGTACAATAACCTCAAACCAAAGTCGATTACTACATTCAAGCAGCTCAAACACTTATTTCTTATCTTAATTTGTTAACAGTTGACAAACAAAAAAAATAACCTTAGCCTGATATCAATCTACCAAGGTATAAATGAATATTTGAAAAAGTACATTATGTGTTTTAATTTAAGGCTTTTTAGGTCAAAAACTTACAGCAAGCTCTACAGTGGCTATCTTGATAAGTGGGCTAAGTGATAGAGAATACCACTTTAAGCTCACCCTCTTCCTAGAACTGTCAAAGGCTCTAGCCGATCTCTTATTCATCGTCAAAAAATACTTCAATGCTAAAGCTGCAATGAATAGCAACCGGGGTGAGAAAGGCTCATCCTTTTTCCTTGACTTATAAAAAGGGAAAGAAATCTAAAATCTTTCAAAAAAGAAAAAAAAAAGGGTACTTTAGGGCTAAAAGCCTAAGTCAAAGACATTGTGACTACACTATACTTAATACTTTTTAAGAAATAATTTTGATGCAAATTCAAAATGGTCCTAAGCTCAAATGGCCTAAGCCACTGAAGTAAAATAATATATGGAATCCAATAAAAAAATGTGTCTTCTACAAAGATTATAACCATAATATCGAAAACTGCATTGACCTAATGAATGAGATTAAAAATCTAATTAGAAGAGGTTGATTGAGTTTATTTGCATTCCACAAAAGGCAAGGATAAGGGAAAGGGGATTTTAGAAGAAGAGATCAAGGAAAAAAAACAAGAATAAACTAGAAAAATAAATGAAAAGAAAGGAACTGAGGTTGTGGTAATCAAAGGGTTAAGCAAGAGGAAGAAGAAAAAAATAATGTGGACAACAGGCCCATTGTTGAGATAATCAATGTGTTCATTAGAGGGACTTTAATGTTAGCCAAAAAAAAGTTAGATCAAAGGACAATTATGGAAATTAGGTCCTCAACCAAAAAACAGAATAGTTGAAAGGCCAAGGTGATCTCATTTGGTTCAAAAATTTGGAAAGGATCTAATTCTCACATAATGATACCATTATCATTTAGGATATAGTCTACAATCATGTGGTAAAAAAAATCTTATTTGATAATAAAAGTTTGATCGACGTCTTATATTATTCCATAATGTAAAAGATGAAGATAACCAAGAAAATGTTAATACCATTCACCACAACTCTAATTGGCTTTGAAAATGAACAAGTACTAGTAAAGGGAATAATTAGGCTACCAATATTATTGGGCATTGAACTGAGGAGTCTCACCTCGATCATAGAGTTTATGGTAGTTGATGTCCCATTAACATGCAACATGATATTAAACCATCCTAGTTAGTCTATTATGAGAATCATCGACTCAACTCCTCATTTCAAAATCAAGTTTTCCATTCCTAATGAGGTAAGAAAGGTTCAAGGAAACCAGTCCATGGCAAGACAGTGTTATGTTACGACCATGAAAAATAGGACTACGAAGTAGACTGATTGTTCAACCAAGGTCGAGGAGTCCCAGCATAGAGAAGAATTAAGGTTCAAGATTAAAGAAATTGAGGAAGCAAAGAAAAATAACTAAGGTAAGAAGAATAGCTAAATTAAAGAGAAAAAATAAAAGTTTTTTTAAGAGCCATACTAAGCTCTTAAACTTATCAACTGTAAATATCTCTTGAGATGTTTTTTAAAGTTTTTCATGCCACGCTCTAGAGTTGGCATAGATGTTACCTAAATCGAGCTTTTAAGTTCGTTTCATGAATACAAACAAATTATATTTTTTGTCAAATTCATCTTTATATGAATACAATAGTTTATTACATTTATGAATTGATTACTAACATTTAAATCAAGATCCATCCTTCTTTTAGAAGAAAGTTTTGACCTAAAAGAACCAAAAGAGATCATCGATCAAAGGCTTAAAATTAATGTTAGTCGATCATAATCTATGAAAGACCTCATATTTGTGCCATTTTATGAAAATAATGCTGATAAATGTATGTAAATAATGGCTAAGCTTAACTATAAAGAACAACTAATACAGTTACTAAGGATTAATGTCGATTTGTTTACATTGACCCCATCAAATATGCCAGGGATCAATCTTATAATGATGGTCCACAAGCTGTACACTAATCTGATTGATCTAAACATAAAATTAGATCAACAAAAAAAGAGGAACTTTGATCTTAAAAGGTAAAAAGTCATCAAGAAAAAAATTAGCATGCTGTTAAAGGCTAGCTTTATCAAGGAAACATACTACCTTATATATGTCATCATGGTGAAGAAGCATAGTGGAAAATAGAGAATGTGCATTGACTTCATTGACCTCAATAAAGCTTGCCTAAAGGATAACCTTTTTTTTATCGAGCATAGATTGGCTAGTAGATGATAGTACCGAGCACGACTTGCGCAGCTTTAGGGATGTAAATTTATGCAATAATCAAATTAAGATATTGAAAGAGGATGAGAAAAAGATGGTCTTTGTGACCAAAAAAGGCATGTACTATTACAAGGTGATGTCGTTTGGCTTGAAAAATACAAGAGTGAAGTATTAAAGATTAGTCAATAAATTAAAGGACTAAATTAGTTGTAATGTTGAAATATATGTTAATAGCATGATTGTCAAGAGTAAGAGTTCGGTCGAGCACTTGAAGGATATAAAAGAGACCTTTAACACATTCAACAAGTACAACATGAGGCTCAACTCAAGTAAGTGTGCCTTTAGTGTTATGTTAGGCCAATTCTTCGGTTACAAGATCAACTAAAGA